GGGTTAAACGGCATTTTGGTGGGGGGGGGGGGGGGTTGTAGAGGAGTGCTTCCTATTCTTAGAGGAGATGATGCGTTTAGATACATATTGCAATATTGCAATATGTAGCCCTGTGGATTTATTTATTTGTAATTTTAGATTCCACAGTGACTCAACTATCAGTGAGTCACTAGTTTTAAATAATTCATGATTTGACATAATATTTCGATGTTAGTGTCCCACTGTGATTATGGGCTTTATTATTCAATATTTGATTTTGATGATGTTCACCAATTATTCTGAAGTGTGTACTCTCCTCTTTCCCTTTGTCTTGTTTTTTATTTTATTTAATCACATGGACTGTTTATTAGATAAAGGTGCCTCAAGTGTTTTTCCCCGCCCTGCGTGGCGTGCTATTTTAGTGGGGTTGGTGTTCGTTCACAACTAGTTATGACTAAGGCAGAAATGTGTCAGCAGTTGTGCTTTGTATAGATGCATGTGGAATAAAGTTTGAATTTCTTTGGAAGATCATCGTGTGCTGGTTCCACAGTTTTTGAGCTAGTACTCCGGAAGAGAGTCATCCGTGCACCAACTGTGGATTGCGAGGACGCATAACAGGGGTGAGCTGTGTGCTTTCTGATATGATAGGCACCCTCTTTGTGAAGCCAGAAATCACATGTAACCAATTACTCCTTGGTGAACTAATGTATTGAAAACTATTGGATCTTACTTAGCAATGCAGTTTAAAAAACAATGCATGGACAAGCACGGTAACTGAATGTATATCTTTACATTTATAGATTAATAAAAAACATATAGCCAAGGACAGACAAAACATATTCTAGGACTAAAGAATCCCTGCAATAACACATTTATATTAAAATATTTAAGTTGCACTTAAATGCAGTAATCTACGGCTATATTATTTTTGCACACAAAGTTACACCGAGTGCACATTGAAAATGGGAAAATTCCTTGTAAAATATTGTTCAAGGGTAAAGTTACATTTATTGTGTCCTAATACATGGCTTTATTTGCTGAATGCTTCAATGATTGATTATGTTAGATCAATAGCCTTCATAAAATAATGAATAACCACATTAAAGAGCTGCAAGTGTCCTCTCTCTATGTGATCAAACACTATGTGGGCGCTTGCATCACACTTGACTTTAATGGAAGCGGACAATTTATACTGATGTGTAAAAGGAACATTCTAAATGTGGACTATCAGGAATGACAGCATCTTGCCTTTACTTAGCACATCATGCTGGGCATTGAGTGGAGGACGGATAACCTTTATGAGCATTAATGTTCCTCTGTTGAAAAGTGAAGCAGGAAGAGCATGAAAAACATTTATAAGCTCTAATGTTCCCTAAGGCAACAGTAGGCTGAAAGTAAAGGGTCACAATAGGAGAACTACACACACTGTTCAATAGATCTCTCTGGCCAAGTACAAGTTAAGGAGTAAAGGCAATTTTCCATGAGGTCCTTTTCATGCTACATCTCCACTGGGCCATGCAATTATTGATCCACATTACTGCCATGCAGAGAG